TTTTTGCTGCTGTGGCTGTGTCTGTTCCGACTGAAGAAAAAGCTGGGCCTCAAGCCGGGGGGAATGAGCGTGGTGATGTTGCTCTTGTTGCTGCTGCTGAATCTGACCATAAGGGCTATCAAACATTCCCAGACCCAAAGAAGAAGACATACCACCTCCGGATTTCGAAATCTGATTGAACCCATTAGCAGCCACCGAACTTGTACCCTCAAACCCACCGTTGTTAAACCTCAAAACTTCTGGTTGCTGCTGCTGATGTTCATATCCACGGAGCATCTCCTGCTGCTCCCTAGCTGCCACCACCGCAGCTAACTGCTGTGCATCAAAAATCTGCTGCGGATCCTGCTGTGCCTGTGGCAGTACGGGTCCCGTGGGAATCTCCATCATCGGCATCATATTATGCTGCATGACCGCAGAAGAAGACGCGTTTCCCAAGTGCTGTTGCTGCATAAAAGCCGAGGGTTGCACTATCGGAAGCATCGCCTGAGGTCCGATAAAAACCGCCAGCTCCTTCTTAGCCTGTTCAAGATCGCTCTGCACTTGCTTCAGCCTGTGCTGCAATATCGAGATGAGCCCAACGCAACCGTAAACAGGATCACGCAGGCGAGCCTCCGCTTCATACGCGAGCGAGTTCACCGCGTCTTCCCTCTGCGAGGCGTCGAGTTCGTTGAGGATTTTCGCGACATTGCTCGCCCCAAACACAGTATGAACGTTTGAAAATTTCTGCGGCTGGTCCGGTGGGAAATACGGCGCGAACACGCATTCTTGCGTGCATTTCTGACGACGAAGCTTGCACGCCGCACACGGCGAGCTCGACGATGACATCCTTTCTCCCCCGTACAAACTGCAAATAAAATTAATCAAAAGTGCACAAATTCATATCCAAGATCTCAGAGAAAACAAAAATAAAAAAGAAATTAAATATTCAAGATTCATCACAAAAAAGAGATCTAAAGAAATAAATTATAATATTAAAAAAATGCATTGAAAACGAAAACATACACGCTAAACCAAATGCAGTATAAGGATTCAGAAGAAACTTCAATCGATCTCCTTCACCTGAGAGTCGATATAGAGGGCGGAACCGACTCTTCGAGAAGAATTAATTTGCGAACGATCCGTTAATATTCCTCCAAAATCTTCAGATCAAAACAGAATACGTACGACATCATTGCCTTCTTCGTCTCTGGCATCTCTCCTCCGGGCGGTGGTTCTGAAAATCTCCTCCTACTCCTACTCCTCCTCCTCCTCTGTCTCTTCCTCTCCTCTCTGTATGGTCGGAATCCAGAGGGAAAACACGATGAAGAGATGATGAAATCAAAAGTGTAAACCTAATCCTAACTGGAAACAAAAAAAAATCGACAAAGTATCAAAGATATATAAAATCAGATTTATGTGATTTTTCATTTTTTGTTTTCGAATTCGATTTTTTTTTTTTTTTTGGTTTGTCAATGGTTTTCGGTTTAAAAGGGTTTGCTCTTACTCTGAGAGCAACGCAATTGATTGCGTCCCTGAGTTTACCTCTTTGTAGTTTGTACCAGCCTTGTCTGCATTTGATTCCGAAAATGCCCTCGGTAAGTTCTGGATTTCAAAGCCTCCACCTAATTATCCTGCAATTTTGTACTTTTGATTTTTTTTTTTTTGCAGAAATTAATTAGTAGTATGAACAAAGGCTATCTAGGGGAAAATCGATCATCACAATATATTTATATTTTATTAATTTGATACGTCATTTATTTCTTTTAGAATTCAATGAATTGTTCCATAATTTTTTGTGGTTGGATACAATCTAGTCAGCGGTAGTCTACCATTATCTCCTTGCTATACAAGTAATTGGATCTTGCTGGATGCAGACGAACCCTGAATATCATCCCTTGGCATAATAAAGTCATCAACTAAAATCACGTGCAA